CGCGCGGGGGCCTCTCCGTTAGGGCAAGGGCGGAGAGTTCAGCCTCCTGTGGGTGAAGGGACGTGTCAAGCTGCTCCGTTGCCTCCACCCGCCTCGGAGAGGAAGATTAACGTGCTTATACAAACTTGTTTGTGTCCTCCCTTGAAAACCTTGCAGTTGAAGTACTTTGTACCGTGAGAAGAGTCGGCTCAGCGAATCCGTGCGCCAGCACCGAGCGAAGGGCACGCAAAGGTGGGCAGCTACAAAGTAGCTCTGGCATGAGAGGGGATGTACGGAACCTGTCTAGATGGTATTTTTATTTTTAAGAGCCATCTCAGGCTAAGTAAAATCTGCCCTCTTAAACTCTCTTTACTCCACACAACTGTACAATAACATTTTAAAAGAGTGTTTAAATTCCCCATACCAGTACTGGCAAAAAGAGAGATTCTAGTGCAGTTACTGCCACTAGGATAAGAATCTGAATTATATAGACACTTATCCCTCAGGATAATCCTTGCCAATATTCAGAAATTTCTTTTCATTTTGCCTGCCTGGACAAGAGTCTTCATATCGTTTAGCTCCTCAGTGAACAAGATTGGAGAAAATACCCAAACATTTGAGTCTAGGAAATACTGTTTTCCATAGCTATGTAGAGAAATCTAGATAAGGTTTCAATGAAGTCGTTCTCTCCAGGGATGCCTAGTCCTGTGGATCAAAGCAAGTATTGCCAAATATAAATCAATGTTTTTCCTTTCCTTTCATGATGTTCTTTACCAGAAGCAGTGTAATTCTCACTAAACTGACAAGTTTTTCCTGACACGTTGTCAGGTTCCATCAGTAGATAACAATAGCCAATTGTGAAAGAAAAGATTACATACTTAAAAAAAAAAAAAATAAACCCACACCACTGTGACACCATGTAATTTTGACATGTGGTAACCACATTTCAACAATCAGAAAAAACAACCCACCGTTTTTAACCCAATGCCTTCCATTTTGGGGACCAGACCTTGCAGCACTTGAGAAGAAATAATTGGGAACCCAGAAAAAAAATCTCCTCACTCAACTCCTGCTCAAGTGCCCTTACTAGAAAACAAATCTGCTACCCACACTGGCACAGAGTAAAGGTTAAGCTAGTCATTATAAAACACAGGTTACCTGGGATTTGGCTGGAACAGAGTTTAAGTGGGAAATTGCTGGGTGCTTTGTCAGAATGGAAGCTTACGGCCGATTTCTTTTGTAAGAGGTGCCAGTTTTATAGTAACAGAATTTTGCAACAGGCAGGTGGCTGCCTGAAACCATCAACGCTGCCAGCAAGTGATAATTTTGCTGCAGAAAAGTAAAGAGAGGTTCCAGATAACATGATGCTCGTTTGCATACATAGGGACTGCTCTGTTTGGAGAGCACTTGGATTGCTGAACAAGTAGCCCAAGGATCTCTGGGAACAGGAAAAAGACATTTTATGGAGGTACATTTTACCTCTCTTCTACCATGGCAGGAAATCCAAGTACCAGGACGGAGGCAATTAGGCATTTTTTTCTTTTCTTCTATGAAAATTGCAACTTGTTTCAAGTACAAAAGCTGCCTGCTGAAAGGAATATTTCTATTCTGACATCATTGTCCCACGTCACCTGTTCTAGAATAACTTGCGTATTTTGTGTGGAATTAGAGTTTAAATGGTGAAGAGAAACAGAAATCGAGCAACAGAGCAGACATTTGCATTCCATAGTGCCAAGAAAGTTTAAGTCCAAAGGCACAACCAAGCTGCAGCACAGGGTATCTCAGACTGTGCTCAGTGTGCATAGCGTAAGTATCTGTGTACACTGGTTGCTACAAAAGCAAGCCCAAAAGCACCAGCTCACTCCCATTTTTCCTAGTAAGTCCCATCATCTGCTGTCACTCTCATATTTGTTTTAGACCTGGTTTTTGTTGTCAGTGCAGCAAACCAAGAACAATGCAACAACTGTGAATACTCCATAATAACTTAGGGTTCTTGAGATGAAAAGGCATTTTTTTCCCCAAGATTAAAATTAATGAATCAATAACAAACTAATGAGACTCGGACAAACTAGGTTGAACATATTAGGTGAAGAAAAAAACCCCTAACTTTAACATACTCACTGTAGCCCTCCTTACTCTAAGGATCTCTCTCAAAATGCAAAATCATAAGCGAGAATTCATGAGATATGACAAATTGAGCACAGCTTGTGTGCTCCTCCACCTTACAGCACTTCATACACAGAACTATACTGAGAACTAAAACACTACAAGACATACCTAAAAGCTGCCATCCCTTCCCATTCATTAGCTAAGATGGTACTGTAGCATTCCTAGAGCATTTATTATCTTAATATCCAAGGAACATAGGAAGAATTCACAATGACAAGTAATAAATCTTAGTCGTGGAAAGGCTGGTGAGAAGGAAGAAAATAAGGGAATAAACAGAGATGGAGAGGGAGAAGAAATTGTTAAAGAATACGTGCCTTGTCCAAGTGAGAACTACTGAGGGAGGGAGAAGGGGAAGAAAGGAAAAAACAAAACAAACACCCACCCACACAGGCACAAAATAAAAACACCCTCTCCCACATATACCCATCTTCCCTCCCCCAGCACATATGCTAACATCACATTTAAATCCTAGTCTAGACAAGGTTTTAGAAATCCTACCTTAACAGACACAGTAAAGTGGAAAAATACTCATCAATGAGATTATTTTAATAGGTTTTGGTTGTCTCAACTTTCGGTGGTAAGCATATTTCTTTTCTCTCTTTTTTTTTTTTTTTTTTTTTATATTGTGGCAGTTCTAAGTAATGAAAAAAACGTTGGCTTTTGATTCAGTGTCTTTGTGAGCACCACTCTGATGTGAAAGCAACACAGCTCCCTTTACCACTTCAGATTTTTGTTCCATTCAGGAAGCAAGTGACAGGGACAAGTGTCCAAACTACCTGAACCAAGGCTTTAGATGGAAAAGGAACCATACTGTAATTTCCAACCCTTCCTCCAATTGCCAAAGCGATCATTGCTTTTAGCTTCATCATTCAAGGGACTCAATTTTCTGTGTAACAGTGGGACCAAACACAGACTGATCTACCATTGGAATTAAGATTCTGAGAAGTTCCTAATTCTTCTAACTCAAAGCCTGGAGAAAGCAGAGCACCTACATGCAAAAGTAATTTATCCTTAGATTAACAGCTACTACTTTTAAAGTACCACCCATTAAGAAAGGCAGCAACAGAAAGGGAACAATGACTCCAAAATACCACAGTTTGAGAGGTTCATTTACTTTTACACATATTATTTACTTGCCTTAAATTTTCCAATTCCTGTTTCTTCAAAGGCGAAGAAGGTGGAGCTGCAATGAATTTATCCCCTTCATGACTTTTATTGCTAGAATAATAACAATATGTTAGTTACAAGAAGTGACTATGAAGACTTAATAAAAAAAATCTCAGTGTAATAGCCATCAGTATTAATTTAATTCATTTAAAAGGGCAGTAAAAACTCTATTGAGAAAGAGGGAATTGAAGCTCTGTAAAAACTGAAGCTAATGTCCTTGTCCTAACTGTTCTATCTGAGAGGGAAAAAGGGGGGCATTGGTTTGTCATTTAAATCCTTCCCAGCAAACAGTCTTCTACTTCTCATGGCCTTAAGCTATTTTTGAAGAGTTTCATGGAGGACAAGTGCTTAAAATTCAAGAAATCCTGAACTCTCTGTACTTGCAGAGTACAGCTTCCATTCCTGCATAGAAACCAAGAAACTAGCTGCTCTCCCTAGACTTCTTAGCAATGAAGTACATAAATGCTCCAGAAAGATATAAATGCATCTAACCCACACTGCCCTATAGCTTCCTTTAGACTTCAAGATGCACGCTTTTGTTATTTCCATTAAAAAAATGCTTTGCTCTTTAAAAAGTAACACCTTGGCAGTGTGAGCAACTGAGGTCTGAGGTCTATTGGAAACAATAAACCAAAACAATCAAAAAACCTACATTTTTCCTCCCATTTGAATAACCACTGAATGTTTCCAAAGCAGAGTTTCACTTCTGTATGGCAAACAGTTAAGGTAATTTCAACTTAGATCTTCCAGCCAGACAGATGGAGAATCCACAAAACCTGTTATTGACACTGTTGCAACATATATAGCTCATGCCTTTGCCAAAAAATCAGATCAAAAAATAGCCCTAAGTCACTTGCAGTATTCAGTGTTTCCTGTGAATAACAGAGGAATCTACTTCCAAGTCAGTCTGTTCAATTAGTGGGATTTGCTCCAAGACTACCTTGTTCAATTAGTGCGATTTTCTTCAAACATTTTGTATCTTTTACTGCTCTGCCCCCAACATGGGGTCCCTTGTCCCAATGTAGCATATGTGCAGTAAATCCTGCCATGTGACAAATGGTTCTACCAGCTTCTTAAGAGTCTATCTGAATTTGGGTCTCAAAGTTTTGTGTTTTTTCCCTCATTATTCTTCTTAAGTAGTTCAAGTTTGAGCATGCTCACTTTTTCCAGATTAGTTATTGCAACTATTTTCTTTCCAAAACAGTCATTCATGAAAGTGCACACAATAGCCAAAGCTCCTCTGATAAAGGAGGTCAGAATAGTCTCTGTAAGCCCAAGGAAACAACAACAAAAAAACTAAACACTTTCTTGCTATTTAATATATGGCATGAATTGTTTTTTTTTTTTTCTTCACTAAAATAGAGAAAAATCAGGGAAATTTTCTCCCCTCAAGCTCCTTTTGGCAAAAATGCAATTTATTAAACAACTCTAGACTACCATCCTTCATATCTACTAAACCTAGCCTTCCATTTTTACTCTAAAGCAAACGTAGCAAACAAAGCACATTAGGGCAGAACGCCAGTGCTCATCATGGGGAAGGATTTACAGCTGATTTGCTAGACACATACATTGGATCAACTACATCACACACACGCAAACACAACTTCACTTAGAATTGGAGAAATACCAATATGCACTGTGGAGGTGTGACGGAAAACAAGACCACAGCACAGACAAGAACAGCCAGTGAAAAAATGCACTTCACTGTCTCATGTATTAGAATGATCTCCCTTGTATTAATGGGATCGATCAATTTAGTATTTTTTTTTCCTTAGATCAGCATAGCAGCAATCAGTTGAACGATTTCCTTGGATATCACACAGATGAGATGCCCTTTGCATCCTTTACTTTTTCTCCTGGCCGCACAGGATAGGTAGGGGACAGAGACTCCCAGCCTAGAGTTACTAAAGGAGAAAGAAGTTTACACACAATTCAAACTACACTGTTCTGTTTACCTGCAGGCTTCACTGCTTTCACTATTTTCTGCATTTCCCCCCAGCTGGTTACTAGCTTTAGACCCGTTTTCCTGCTTTGGCTCCTGCTGATCTTCTGGCAGCAAAAGCAAGGCATTTCGTAGACAGATGGCTGCAAATTCCATACTGGCTACGGGAATTGCCGAGGACTGCCCATCACTGAAACAGGACACAGAAGTTAACAAGTGAGTAACAATCCTACTAAGCTAAACAACAAAAGCAGATCTCCAGAAAATAACAATAGGAGGCCCCTAGTAGAATGGGAAGATTCAGCTACCTGAGAACTACTTGAATTGTTTTTTATGACTTCACTTCTTGAAGTGTTACAGATGAACAATTAGATTCTTCCCCCACTTTTCTGAATGGATAACTGGAAATGTATTTTTAAATGAGAAGAGAATTATAATTCTCTGAAACTCATATTTCAGAGAAATCAATTTTAAGTTTTAATAGCACTCTAAGTTTCAATGAGCACACAGTTAAGCCCTCTACTGGCCATTATAAAGGAGACATCCAAATGATGCTTAAATAAACGTCACCAAGCATTTTACAAGGCATCTGCACTACAAGAATAAACCCAAAACAAGTAGTTTTTCTGTGACATTTTTTTCCATGACAGAAGATTCTAGGTACATATCCTAAACAAGTCTGTGACAATGAATCAAACAGCCCAGGGAAAACATACTTACTTATAAACAACATTCTGTATTGACTGGGATGCGAGGACTATCTTCCGGTGGTAGCCTTGACCTACTATAGATTGCACTATTCCCTTTTTGCTGGGAAGACCTTTAGTTTCTTGTTCTGATGTCTCAAATAAAAAAGAAAAAGAAAAGAAAAAAAAAGGAGGATTAAAATGTAAAGCAGCTGAATGAAAGATTGACAAAATTACTGTAAAGTTGGAAGAACACTTTGAACCCAGCTAAACTGTAAGAATTAGTAGTTTATATGGGTACTGGTTTAGCTCTTAGGTTCCATGAAGGATATGAGGCACCTTCCATTGTCTTTGCATTGCAAAGGGATTTTAACCACAGTTCCGCTGTGTGCCGTAAGTCACAGATTATTTCTGAGAGCTTGTTTGATAGCCTACTGACCTAGTTTCTCCCTGTTTAAAGAAGCCAGAACAATGAAATGAGTCCTACATTGTAGAATTGCTGGGATATCTACAGAGATACTGGATGATCAGCCAGATAATGTTCAACTGGCAACGTAACTCAGCATCTTCCCTCCATTCTTATACAGCATTCAAAATGCTCTATGAAAAACTGCTCAAACCATTCCATGCAGAACAAACTGTAACATATTCAACCTTACATTAGGTTATTAACAAGATGCTTCTGGCAGACAGATAATCTGGAAGTCAAACTTAAAAACTCCTATTGGTCCCACGAATCATCTCCACACCATATTTATCCTGATTTTTGACATAAGTGACCTTAACAACATTCCTTGCAAGTAAAGTCACGGTTGTAAGGCAAAATCAATAGGTGTACATTTTTATATATTAAATAGGTATCGCTTTCCAGATAGTTTATCACAATCTATGAGGAAGAAGAATACTGACACGATAATGACATTAACGACAAAATAGAATAAGCTCAGATATAAAGCATATATTTTGCAGAAAATAATATTAAAACCTGCTGAAAAGGAATCCCATCCATATATTTTACACACTAAAATACTATAGCGGGTGAAAATTTACTTCAGTGAAATTACTTTTCTGTATGAGGCCCAGGAAACAAACAAACAAAAGTCCATATTTAGATATATGGAAGCATTAGAGCAAATAGAGCTGCAAGGTGAAATTAAACACCTTATTGATTTTAGGATCTCATATGTCAAATTGTAAATTTATGTTTAACTTAAAGGACACATCACCTGTTCTTTAATATTAACAGCATTTTTTTTCTCTCCTTTTAGGATTACAAAGTTAGGGAAATGCCAAACTGAAGCTCCTTGGTATTCCACGACCATTAGCACCATGACTGCAGTATAACGCAAGCTAGGTTATATGAGCCTGACATCATCTCCAGGAGGGTTGGTCCTTCTCTTTTCCAGACTGTTTAACACTCTCTTTGAGAAGAGTATCCCAGCTCTTTTATTACAAGCCATATGCTAAACAACCGTCTGTACCCAGCTTCCCAGTAGAAAGGATCAGTTGTGTATCCTTTACCACCATGTACTTTGTAATTAGGGGAATATACACCAAAAAATGCAGAATGAGCAGGAAGAAAACTCCTCCATGCATTCACTCTATTCTACAGAACTAAGTACCTAGATCTAGGAGACAACAGGTAACAAACCACATAACTAAAGTCAGTGCATTTTTTTTAAAGTTTCAATGAGTCCTCTGCAAAGCAGGGGCAACAGCAATCCTCATTCACACAGTTGTTACGAATAGCTTAACGTTTCTGAAATGCACAGACTCCTCCAGATAATGAGCATCACTGAAAATCCTAAGAAAGGATTATAAATTTTGTTTTTCTTAGGACTGTGCAGTGTGCAGTAAATAATGGCACAGGAGCCACCCAGAGGGAAAACAGTGAATCTGGAAGAAAAATGAAGTGAATATGGCTGTTGGGTCAATCAATCCCACCCATCCTGAGCACTGGGATGGGCACACTGCAGAGAAAGCGCAAGGGAACACGGACCATACGGACTACGTCGTTACACCCGCACACAGCTCTAGTTCCTTCCTCAGCCTCTGCCCCTTTGGGCTGGACACACTTCGGGCTATTCCCTCTCCATCTCCAGCAGCAACAGAGAGAAGAAATAATGACAGCCTGACTGACAGGCTTGGCTGCATGAAGAGAAGGAAGATCACAGAAAAGATCTCAATGGAAAGTAGACTGTGTCTTGTTATTTGCATCCAGTCCTATAAAATGAAGTCATAATTGAATTTGGATGGTGTATTTATTGTAGACAAAATTAAATGAGACATTTGCATTACTTGCACATCACGAAAACTTTAACTGAACCATTACTGAATAAAACTTAAACTAAAAACTTAATCTGAATGAGTGCCAGAACAGTAACAGTACATTTTCAGTCACACCTTACAGCTGAGCATCCTGCCTCAAGCTGCGTATAATGGCTCTCGATAGGCATAAGCTTTCTCCCATTATGCTACATTTCAAGAACCACATCATTTCAGAAGCTGTAATGCAATTCCTGGAGACTGAGCATAAAAATTTAAGATGCTTCAGTCAAATATTTTCCAAAAAAGAAGAAATAAACCTTTCCTTGTCAGAACAGCAGCAGCAACCAAAGCCATTACAGCTGTTTCTGTGCATCACACCTCAAAAGAACATCAACCCTGAAAGTGCAGCCATAAAATCATTCTTTCTTTGGGAATTAGTTAAGTTGGTCCCCAACTCCAATCTCATCTTGCTATTTCTGCAGTCCAGTAACAGAAATGCTTGGAAGAACAGAACTTAGTACAAGCAAGAGATCTCATACAAGTTGAATTCATCACAGAACTTTGTTATGTATTTAAAATAAGTGTGGGAAGCCAAGATATTATTAAATATCCATAAATAATAGGTCATACAATGTTATATCTTAAGTAGATAGTATTCTCTGCAAGAAAAGAACATGTTGCTTCCTGATAACAGGTGAAGTCTCAGTAGAGAATAATATAGGTTTGTCTCCAAATAGTATCTTTCTTAAAATTATTTCAAGTCCAAAGTTAAAAAACTCAGATGACTCACAAAAATCTAACACGCTTAAAACTAGCTTAGGACTTCTCATTCAAATTAGGAGCTGGAATAGCCTAAAGGCAGTGATGGTAAATGGTTAAAGAAAAATCATGTTAAACCAGTCTCTCCAGGAAAAAAAAAAAAGAGAAAAAAAAAACACCACCCTGTAACTTAGAGGAAGAGCTGTAATAGCCACTTACGTGCTTTTGTTTTATCTCATGCTAATCTTTAGAATAGCCCCTCAAATTCTTCTGATCTTAGAAAAGTCGATTAAGCACTGGGCTTCAAGTCACTATTTCTATGGAACAAAGAGACAGTGTTTTTCTTCCACCTCTGTTGGAGCTTCCGATTAAACAGACACACACACACACACACACACAAATAATTAATTCGGACTTACGTAGAGGTGTGGCGGCATCAGGTCTATAAAATATAGAAATCAGCTCAAGGTATTATTTCTTCTCCTCTGCTATCACATGTATTTCAAAACCACCATGGTATCCACAAAAGGAATTTACAAATCTACTTACCCCCTTGTTGGCAGCAATGCAGCATTCTGCTATTCGCAGCCAGAGACGCGGGTTGGAGTGATAAACTTGGACTGCCTCTATCAGGCACTCGAAGGCAGCCAAGGGCCTCCCGATATGCAGCAGTTGTATTCCACAGTTGTAGAGCAACTCATAGCGTTTGTTAGTCAGTAGGGTACACATAGGTCTGCCTGAAAACTTCTTAGCTGTGGAAAAAGATAGTTTTTGATATGCAGCTCAGGAGGGCTGAAAACATAATACATCCCAAAACTACATAGTCCTTTCTTTCTTTACACAAACTCAATAGCTTCCCTCTGTAAATACATTCCTTCCATATCCAAGCTGATCCAAGACAAATTAATCACATTATTCATAAAAGTTAAAATAAATTAAATACTAACTACTTGTGTGCCTCTCTAGTCAAGCTAAGCATTGTAAATACTATACTGTGAATCTGGAAATGAATATACATTTTTGTTACTCTTATAAAGCTTATAAGAAATTTGTTTTTTTGTTTTTGTTTTCCATTAATAAGTATAAAATATCTTCTGTCTTTGCACCAGTATCTAAGATTGCACTGTAGGAGCAAGGTGGGTTGGGAAACAGTAGAAACAAAACAGTGTGATAGGAACTGGATTTTAAAGAAAATGAAAAGTGAGCAAATTATCACTTCATCACGAAAATCCTCACTTAGGGACAAAAAAAAAGTATTACTAAACAAAGCAAGAAAACTTTTTATAATGCTTATTTTCTTATCTTTGGCTATATCTAGGGACAAAAATAGACAGATAAAACCAGATATTACATGGATAACTAAACAGTGGGTAAACTTTTACCTTGCAAGTCTGTGAATTGTTCAGTAAGAAAGTTTTTTTTTTTTTTTAAATAATATATAGTGTTCCAAATACTAACTTAACAAAACTGCTCATCAAATTTTCTACATCCAAGTTCAACATGTCCCTCAAGATTCCTGATCTGGTGATTCTATCTACTGTAAACAGGACTGTAAATAATGGCTTTACCAGTGTATTGACAGGTCTCTAACTTTCTTTCGGTCAGATCTCCCTGACTGAGAATCATAGGTTATAAACAAGACAGAAGTAATTACTCCAGCCCACAGCACACCAGAGAGAGCAAGAGGGACACATTTCATCATTATCTGTTTTTCACAACAACTATGCACTGAAATCAAGTTATACTCAGAGTCCCCATCCTCTTCATCCTGTTCTGCAAGCAAATGGAACAGGATTTTTCCTGGTAATGCCTGAAAGCTTATGTCATCTGTTTTATTGATTTGCCTACCCCTCTTCCACCACCTATTTTCACCTCTTACAAGCTCTTACCTGGGTCTGGACTACCCGTTCCGAGCTGTGCACACGCATTATCGTTTTCTTGCAAAGCTTTTTTAAAGTAAAAAATTCCTAAGTTGTGTTTTCCCATAGCAAAGTGGATGCAGCCAAGATTGTTCCAGAACATGCACCTTAAGCATTCACCTGAGAGAAGAACAAAAGATCATTTTAATAAACTGAATTGGAAAAACGCCATTAAAAACAGAAAACACTCCCTCCATTCTCTCATGGGCTAGCATATTAAAATATCTAATTAAACATCTTCAGGAAAATAATCAAGAATTATGAAGCTACTGTCTTACAAATATTTTAATAACCTACATTTCTGTATATTTATCTATTTCTCTTGGACAACCAGAGATTTTCAGGTCTTAAGCACCACATTCCAGAAGAGCCGTGTTACAACACAAATTGGAGGGTCTACAAGTTGAAGTAAATTCGTCTGGAATATTTTGTAGTGTTTCATCTGCAAACACTTCCAGTTTTATTACTCTTGTAAAATGGAAATTAAGAGGAAAATGCCTTAAAAAGGAAGCTCCTAAATTAGATACTTAAGTTTTATAAAATAAGTCGATATGCCACTCCAAGTATACAAACAGGAAAGAATTAGTCTTGAGATTGAAAATGCATTCTCCTCCTTAAACATACCATATGCAAGTAACTGGGGCACTTTCCTCTAAAGAGGACATAAAATACTATCAGAGAGGTAAGTCGCAGAACATTCTAAAAGCAGTTTCAAAATACAGCATAACTGTCATTATGGCAAATATTTTGAATTAATATTTTTAAATCAAAGAGACTAATCTGTAAACACAGAAATTTCTCAAAATATTTACTTAGTGTTGTGATATTCCCAGAGAAATTCTACAGCTGCCATCATCTAGTTACAGACCTTGTACCTGTGTCTGTTAGATAAAATGTTCTCCCAGAAGATGAAATCCAAGAGAACTCTCTCTAAAACTGTAAGCAATGAGCAACTGAAGCAGAGGAATTCAGCATCTCCACAGAGTATTTTTAGAAAGCTTAGCTCTCTGCTAACCCAAGACACAACTTTCTCTCTAGATGTTTCAGTATTTTTCCACTGATGTTTTTAGTCGAATACCATCTCAAAAGTTTTTACATCAGAGTATGCAGACATATAACCCCTACCACACACATCTTGTGCATAAGAAAATGAATTCAAGTGGAGCACAGCGGAAGGCAAGCCTCAACGCTTCAGAGAGCACCGAGTTTCCTTGTAATCATTACAGCCGCAATAATCCTCTTTCGGTACAACTTGAAACCTCATTCCTAAATCTAGGTTACCTTTCTTTACTTGGTTTACTAACCTAAGCAAGAAGCCCTGCAGATATTACATTTACACCTTGTAAAGTCATTTTCCTAGACAGTCCTTAGGTTATCAAGAAAACACTGAAGAAAATCTATGCCTCAATACCATCACTGAAGGATGTAAGAATGAAGAAAACATAGGATATAAAACCATGACACTTCAGGTCTATTCCATTAAGTAATTATTAACATGCCTAACACCGATATCAGTGAGTAGTCCCCTTTGCACCACACTTTCACATGCCTGCAGATGAAGGTTCTCCCATTTTACCTGTTTTCATGAAGCCTGGATGTTCGGCAATGTTTGCACTGTTCAAAAGTTTGACTGCTTTCCGATAATTGCCTCTCAAATATTCAAAATTGCTCTTTAGAAAGAGAGAAGGAGCTGACTGTGATGGAGAAAACAAACAAACAAAACAAACTCTCTTATTTTAAGATTTCCACTGTTAGCATTAAACCACTCCATAGTCAACTTGGCCCTTGCTGCCATTTAAAAAAATAGACCAAACCATTTCGGACCAAAACATTACACATGAAGCAGCATTTCTCTGTTGAGCGTGCCTCCCTTGAGTTTCACAAACTGTAAGTATTTTTGCTATTGCTCTAAAATACTAGAAAACTGTCATGCCAATAGCTGACTGCAGAGGATCTCTTTTTTTCCTTAACAGGATCTTTCTCCAACCTGCCTTCTAGTACACTCTTCCCCATGCTTCCCTCCCTGAGGAGTTCAACAGCTTCCTCCTGGACTGTGATCTTCCTAGTCTGCCCACAGAAACCTCATGATCCAGAAGGATTTCTGTCAAACTAGCAGCTGTTGAGACTGCCATCAAAAGGGGAAGTGCTCTCCTCCCATTCCCTGCTCCTCTGTTAACGCAGGATATGTCTGGAATGGTGGGTGTAATTCTGAGTTGAGAACTCCTATATATTAAAAAAAAAAAAAAAAAAAAAAAAAACTGCTTTCTAGCAAGAGGCAAGCCTCCAAAAAACTTGGATAAGAAAAATAAAATAACTAATAATAATAAAAAAGAAGAGCACCCTAAAGTCTTCCATGAAGTCGTTTAAAGCACCAATTATACCAGAAGATTTTAATTCTCAAAGTGTAACATTTCTAACAAACTAAAATGTGGTTACTTTAAGCTGCAAAGCAAGCTTTATCTGCTTAGTATAGTAATCACTATTATTTTTACACCATTAACAGTAAAGTGCAATTTGCAAACCAACTGCAAAAAGTACACATTAAATTCTCTATTATTTACACTCACAGAAGAAAGATTACAATCTCAACTGAACATATAAAGCACTCTTGAGACATCCATCCTCAAGATGATACTTCTTTGCAAAGCTAGAAAACTCGTTCTTAAGAGAACAGAATTAGATTATAAAAACAGTATCTTTAAGAATACCTACATTCCCAGCTGTATTCATAACAGACTTGATCTCCCTTTTGCATGCTTTTAGGGACTTCATCTGGATATAGGCTCTCACCTTATACTGAGGAAAAAAAACAATGCTGTTAAATGAAAACTAATTTTTCAGCTCTAAGATAAAACCACAGCTAGACTTATTAAAGAATACTATACACACATCTCAAAAAGAAGTTAAATAGCTGCATTTTCTTTAATAATCTAAAGAAGAAATTCTATTCAATGCTGTTAAATGAAAACTAATTTTTCAGCTCTAAGATAAAACCACAGCTAGACTTATATACACACATCTCAAAAAGAAGCTAAATAGCTGCATTTTATTTAATAATCTAAAGAAGAAATTCTATTCATAGAACATTTAATGCAATAACCAACAGTAACTCTGTATTCAAACCCAAATTTCTTGTACCTAAAATCACAAATGAGTTAATCTAATTTCCTGCTCCCATACTTTTGCCTACTAATCTGACAATACCAATAAGTGAAAGATGGCAGAGAAGGATGTTTCTACAAATCAGAAATGTCATTGGTTTGTAATGTGAAATAAAACCTCAGCTGATTTAAGCGATTGGAGATGCAGCAGACAAAAGAGTAGAACTAACTCCAATTTACCTATATAACAATAGGCTGCAAGGATTTAAGTTAATTTTTTTTTCATCTTCAGACAGTTTCTCCTGTACATGGATATTACAAAAGAGATAGTTAAGTCATTTTTTGATTCGTTTTACAAAATGGAGTTCAAGAACAGGCAATATCCCAATCCATGCTGAACTATACTGGTAGTATTTGGTTTTAAGAAAGACTGAAGTAATGTTCTTGTATAAATGGCATGTAGACACCTACCTGATGTATCTTAGATTTGGCTGCTTCTATTAAAGCTCCGCTTTCAGCTTTCTGGTTGGAGGAATCTTTATTTGTATTATTACCTGACTGAAGATTTAAAAAAAAAAAAAGAAAGAAAAAGAAAGTTATTATCTTTTTAAATTTGACTTACAGATTTTTTTTTAGACTATAAGGAAGAAAAGTAACTATCTAACAGTCTGGATGAGTACCTACCCATCAAATATTGCAACTTGAAGCTAACAGTCAAAATCCAGGAATGACTACACCAATCTATGAAGAATGAAGTTTCCTACATTAACACTAGTATTATGCTGAACCACTCCAGCAATGAGATATTTTAAGAATTCTTTAACCTGGGAAGACACTATGCACACTCTAGGCTCACTCACTAAGATTTTCTTCAGTAGAGTTATCTACTATATATTTAGACAGGGTAGAACAGAGGGAATACACTCTTGCCATAAATAACTCAATTACTTACACTTAAGTTGCAATATAGATTTGTAATTCAGAGCTATCTAAAAAGAGTAACTTAGAATCAAGTTAAAACATACCATCGTAAAGACTTCAGTATATTTCTAGGATTTTCTGCTTACCTCACTTTTTCCATTCTTGCTGTTATTGTTGCCCTGTGAAATCATTTTTTCTAGAACAGCAAGTAGATGTAAGGCCTTCTCAGCTTGATAAGTTAACAGGTATAAGTCTACAAGCAAGAAGCACACAGCCTGGGCAAACTTCTCTTCTGCATAAAGTTAAGAAGGGTAAAATGATTTTGCAGTTTTAATATTAAGCTTTCCAAACCCAACCAAAACGAAGAAAAAAGTGCACACAACATTATGAAGAAAAAAAATAAAGAAAGAATTACAAAAAACAAACAAACAAACAAACAAACAAGCAAAACACAGCAAGATGTTCTGGATTTATGCTATGGGTAACAAGCATGCTTCAGTAAACAGTCCTGTCACTTCTAAAACTAGATGATGATGAAGTTGTTTAAGAGGATGACAACTCTACTACACAGGGTGCCACAGCACATAAGAGAGAAGCATCCTAACAAAATATGACCACATACAATTATGTGCAACCTAATGCAGGCATTTGAAAATATAAGCCCACTGATTAATTACCACGCACAGGGTAGTTATATGACAATACCAAAATTTAGATCACTTAATCACTTTTCAAATATTACTTTCATGAATATATGAAGTTGACAAGTACTTGTTTCAGAATCATAATACTTTTCTGCTAATCACCTCTGAAGTACCATTAGTCCAAATTAAAATACAGTCCCTGGTATAAAGCATATTCTTAATTTCTAAGATTAGTCATTGCTTTAGAACAGTATTAGGCAGACACTTACAAGAGAATAATAAAAATATGAATAACCTTTCCTTAGTTTTTATACGAAGAAAATTTCAAACTACATACCAAAAGGTTCTATAAATTGATAGAGCTTCTCTCCAACTGATATAGCTTCTGTATACTGCCGCAGGTGATACAAAATAACAGCCTGATTGTAGTAAAGCATGCTATTTTCAACATCATCTAAACCATCCATTTCTTCAACAGCAGAGTGAACCTTTTAAAAAAAAAAGAAAAAAAAATCACTTGTTTAAATGAAATATATTTATATATTTTTTTAAATAACCTATAGCTAGAAATTAGTCTAAAGGTAGGTCAATAAAGAATTCCATTCATTAGTTATAAGTCAATAAACATTTGCCATTCATTAGTTATAAGTCAATAAACATTTGCATTGTTCAGTATGAAGCCAGCAAAGGATTTAAATCATGTCACAATGATTTAAAAGTTTTGAGTGAATAATCTTTCTATTGAAAGAATGACATTTTTTTCCTACAGTTGTAAATGCCAGAAAAAAAAATCTGCTTAAGATCGATTTTAGTGATAACTAAAATTATAAAAGCAGTGTCCTACATGAGTAAACACACTCAGAGATTTGCAATCGAATATCATCGATATGTTTGCAGTACCTGGTTCTTCAGCTGGTTAAGAGTCTGTCTCAGGTTGTCTGTTGTAGTCTGGTTACTTTTACAGAACTCTGCAACAGCAGTATTCAAAGTTATCTTGTAGTCGTCTTTGTTTATGTCTTGAAGGGTATTCAGGTGCTGTAAACAAGCATCGTAATTCCCAGCCTGGAAATTGCACACATATCAGAAACGGACATTAGATGATACAAAGTCCAAATTAACAGGCTAGTAAGTTGTAAAAAAGGTATCCTCTATAAGTTAACAGAACAAAGTAGTATTACAATTATCAACAGGAAGTGAACTAAAACTAAATGGTTACACATGCATTAGTAACGAAGTATGAGAAGCAAATCTAAAAGCTGTGATCCAAACCAAATTCCAGGAAGAATTCTGTGGCAGACAGACAAATGTCTATTATAAACAGAGGATTCTATGAACAGTGTGGTTCTAGTTTGCTGAATGTAGAATTAAAAGCAAACGTCTTCACTGCAGAACGAAAGAGAACTGCAAACTCTGTCAAATACTGTCAAAAGTCAATGTCAATTAACTCATTATATAGCTGTTATGGTTGATAAGTTTTGAGAATTAAGAATAGAAGATGCTCTTGCACACTCAGTGTAAGAGTCTCCTACAATCATCTCATATCATGACACACAGAAAATGTGTGCTGCCTTTATAACGCAGTTATTATTTTTTGATCCAATATCCTGTTAATACATTTGCAACTAATTATTATTAAAAAAATAATAATTTACTATAATAATTTACTACCATTTATTACAATTTACTACAGCTGCTAAACTAGCTTATAGAATTAGAAGTCTCACAATTTAGCTTCTTCTTACCTGAAAGGCTTGTAACGCACTGCTTGACAGTTCCTTTTCCTGATCAGTAATCCCAGAAGAAGTACCTGTTCCTTCATGTTTCTCAGAACCTTGATCTGCAAAACAGAGAGAGTGTTACAAGAAAGCTTGCCAATGTGATGAAAGCTATTCAGCTTAAACATTTAGTTTCTTCAATTTCTCAAGATCCTTGTGGCAGTACAAAGAATCATTTTCCACATTACTGTAATGCTGCCTCCCTGCTACACTAACACCTGCCAAATTATCCTATACTCCTATTTCTCTCCATAAACTGCAAATGTAACAGCCTTAGTTATCCAGGAAACTTGAATATTACCTTTTAGCGTACTGACTATGAATAACTACAGTCCTGCAAGCTAATGGGCAACATTTTAGATTTCTCTGTTAAGTTGCAGTCATACACTAGGAAGAGCTTCCCCTCTCCACACGCACTCCAATTTGTAATGGAGACCAAACTCAATACAAATGAAGTGACACATTTGTTAGACCAAAAGTCCATGCATCCCATATGCTGCTTCCTAAACAAGTAAAGGGCGATTTAGGGTACACCACAAAAGCAAATACTGAATCTTCTGCCTAAATTCCTACTTTAGAGGAGTAACTCTGGCTAAATGATTCAAGAAAAAAATAAATCATTAAATCATTAAAATGTCCTCTTCACACATACCATTTTCAGCAACTTCTCCCATTCTACTACAACCTTTTCCAGATTGCAACAAGGAGACTACCATGTAACATTTGTGATGCTGACCCTTCTGAGGTTTCATATAGAAAGCCAACACAATTTTAATAGTCCTCAATGTCTTTTACATCTAATTCCTTACATATTTTACCTTACAGTCAGCTAAATGATATTAGGCTAAATGATATGAAAGCTCTACACTGTAGTTCTTAAGATGTAAGATTAATTATGTGCATTTCAGATTACACACTAGAAAAGAATATCAGTAAAGCCAGAAGGTGAGCATCAACCTCTAAATACTGATAACTGATCAGGTCAAGAGGCCTCAGTTTTACTGAGAAAGAGTTCCTTAACACCTGAAAACAAGGCACTGAAAACACCTACACGGAAACAGGGGGTTGAGGTTTTGGAAAACCACTATAGGCAATAAAAAACATGTCCACACAACGCTTCATGGAGTCAGGGTTCTCACAGATCATTGAAATATTGCTGAGGAGAGGATGGGTCTACAAACAGACATCACTACGCCTGCAAGTCTCCTAGAACAAAGTTGGGGACTATTGTAAGCAAAAATAAGCCTTCCTCTTTCTCCCATAAAGTTAGTTCTATAGCTGCAAACTTCATCTGTTCTGATTCACTAAGCAAAAAGCGGTCTGAATTGCAAGAAAGAGCAAAAACAAAGTGCAACGGAAGTAGCTTAGAGCATAGCCCTTTCCCTTAGGGAACGACAAAAGTTTGGCTTTTCTTTAATGCTTTTGCCCAAACATGTTTGAAACCTGCTAAAGTGCTGAAGGTCCTTCTAATCTAGTGTAATCCTACCACACTTGTTTACACCAGGATCCATTGCTGCCGTTACTGCTTCACCACTTAACACCTCACAAACAAACTCATCTGAAGCAAGGTTGGTCCAGGATACTAAAAGGACCCCTCCATGCAACTTAACACGCTCCTATTTGCACTTTTGATTTTTGGCTGAACTATTTGAAACAGTGCAGATTCTGTAATTTACAAATGACACAACTCAGTTTACCTGCGCAAATCATATTTACGCATTAAACTGTTCCCTTGGTTTTAAACTTTTTGTGTTTTCTACCTCTCTGGAATACAAAATATCTCAGGCTGAGGAGCAGATGGCGAGAAGCAGAAAGTGCATCCATAAAGAGGAAAAGGATGCAAAAATCACCCGCTCACATTTTGATCTGGAGAGAGCTGCTGATGTAAAAGAAAACAAGTTGGGGCATTACATTTGTTGTTAGCAAGCTGCACCACATGGTACTGAGCAGCAGAAACACCGTGGCAGCAAGGCACTTCCCTTTGCATCGCCAGGTGGTTGCTCCTCCTGGAGAGGATGCGCCAGGCGGGCAGCAGAACCTGCTCTGGGGTATCTGGCTCTACTATATGAGAGCAAGGAAGAGCCTGAGCCTGCCCGCCTCTCCAGCCTGCTGCAATGAGAAGCTGCATCTCATACACACAGACCTAGACACTGGGGCAGTGACTGCAGTTATCACCCTTCTCTTACCCACTGCCTCCAAAGATTGCTCTTCCCAAGCCCTCTCACTTTCAAGCCCTTTAAATTACATCTTGTATAAACTGTGTTATTGAGTGCCAGAACATCTCTGGAATTATTTTCCAAACTCTAAGTGCAGTGGGACAATCTTTTCCTGGGAAGGAAAGAAATCAATCACAGAAGTCTCACACCAACAAAATTTTGAAGAGTATGAGGATCAGTCAGATCATTCAACCCTTTTGAAGGGATAACAACAGATTGCAGCGCAGAAAGAACACTTCTTTGTGAAGCACAGTGCTATTAGTCTCCATGTATTAGACTTAATCCTGTGCAACAACACGGAAACACTTTTCACTCAGAAGTTAGAGCTCACTCTGCTACGAACAAGTGAATACACAGCACATTTTGCCATAGCTAACATGGTTGCTTCATTTGGACAGGTACTTTTCCTCTAACCTAGTACAGCAAGAAAGTCCTTGACCTCACCATCTCCAAGAAGTAACCTCCTAATGTCAAGCCTTTCCTGCAGTTTAAAATAACAGCAAGCTTCATTAAAATACAGGACGGTTTAACACATATCTCTTAGCAAGGTGTAAGCTTCATTAAAATACAAGATGGTTTACAGGATGGTTTAACACATATCTCTTAGCAAGGTGCACTGATCTTTCCCATGATGATCTTCAGATCCCTCGGGCCAAGTTTCATGTGGAGGATATTGAAAGAAAAAAGTAGCTCAAGTCAGGGCACAAGCTCAAACAGAGAACTCGAGGCCACAGGCAGATCCTTGAGCTTCTCCTCGCACAGCCTCTGTCTTCCCCACAAGTTGCCCCGGGTGCCAGGTTGCCTCACGGCCAGGTCTCCGGCACCCAACGTGGTCACGGCAGAGACAGGGAGGCAGGGGCTGCAAGGCAGGCCCTACAGTAACGGTAAATGAGGGCTGCTTTGGTTGTTTTGGCCGTTTTCTTGGAAATCTCCCCGTTTAACCGACTGAGCAGGCCACAGCTTGGCGTGTCGTTACCAGTCCCCCGCGCCGGGACACTAACGGTCGCGGCGCTACTTCCCGAGCGGAAGGACACGGGGACGCGCGACCGCGTTTCCTTCCGCCCGGCACAGGCCGCGGCGCCTCCCTCCGCGGCGCGGCGCGATGGCGGCGCGGTCAGCGCTGCGCTGCGCGGGTGCGCATGCGCGGCGCGACGGGCGCCATGTTAGGGCGGCAGATCCTGGGGCTGCGTCGTGTCGGCCCGGTGCAAGGAGCGGGTGCCGCCTCGGAGGAGGGCGAAGGGGTTTTGGGAGCGGGAGTACGTGCCTCGGCAGAGCGCCCCCATGGAGCCGCACACTGAGGAGCGAGGGGGGGGGTGCACCGCGCTGCCCTTGAGAATGAGGGTGTGGGCCAGACGCGGCGGTTTTGAGAACAGCAGCAGCTCCGCCAGGTGCAAACAGCGTCAGAAGCACAATACAGCCTCCCTCCCTTGGTTTGCATAGGGAAGATTTTCCCCTCAGCATCCAAATCTCTTCAGAATATTCGCTGTAAACTTGTGCTGAACTTTGGTTACTTTCTTAGAAGGGTGCCAAATAACTGTTTTTTTCTGAAAGACACTTGTGTTTCTGTTGGTCTTTGAACAAACGGCTTCACAGTATCCACTGGGTTCTGTGGTCTTGCACAGATCACCAGCCCATCTTCGGCGTTGCTGAGATGCCATCCCTGCATCGCACAGGCTTCCTGTGAGACCCTGCTGCTGTGGCTCGCTCATCAGTTCATGTGGGGATGGTTTCCTGCAGCTTTTCCTGTGTTATTTCCCCAAATGTAGCTTTTTCAAAACCTCATCCTCCTCTCACGCCGCTTTATTTATGCTAAGCGTTGACCCAGGTTTCTGTTGTGATAGTGGATATACCCCGTTCTGCTTAATGGATTCTACTTTACGTGGTTTTGACCTTGTTACCAGCTGGCAATGTTTGTCAAGAGAGACCAGGCTTTCTGAAACACAATGCGTGTGCTGGGTGTCTCTTATGCATTAGCTTAAGGTGTGAGGATGAAATTGTTCCTTGGAGAGGTCAATGGCAAAACTGGTTTAGAGGGAGCAGGATTTTTTTTTCTACTAATCTGTCACAAGCATCAAGCTACTATGTTTTCCCTAAATCCGACACGAGAGAGATCCCTAAGGAAAGTGATACTTTGTTTAACTAAGGGATACAATTGGAAAAAAATGGGCACGCTTTAAGCATGTCAGCTCCAAATGCCTTCAGCCATCATGGCTTCAATAATCTGAGTCCAGTAACATGAAAGATTTTGGAAACATTAGTAGAGGAATTTCAAGAGCAGATGAATAATTTTGATTTCATAATTGAAATTCTGAATATTTTAATTAGTTTGCTGGTTCGCTGAATTTTTTGCACATTTTTTGCAAGAAATTGCTACTGGCCCAGGCCATTGGGTCATACTTGTATTAAGAGAACATCTGCAGATAAGGTTGTGTTAACAAGTCTTTCTAATATGCATATATTTACTAATGTAAATATTTATTTATTCTGATATATTCCTGTTTGGTAAGCAATAGGACAGTCGTCTGCATGTTGCAGGCTCTGCTGCACTGAGATGGAGACCACAAGGACTTTTCCGTCCCTGCTCCGGCTTTTCCAGAGAGTCCCAGGCCCGGCAGCGCTGAGGCAGCCTCTCCCGGCGTCCACACTGTGACACCTCGAAGGGTGTGCGCAGAGCCTGCTCTGTGCATCCCCCGGTTTACCTGAGCGGTGATCACGGCAATCTTGGCTATATCTTGCAGCACTGTTCTGGCAAGTCTTTAACTTGTGATTCCTAAGCCAAATTATTTGTTCCGTTCTTGTGTCTCAGGCAGTTCTTTTTCGCAGGTAGCGCTGATGGCCCTGGTCTTGGCGAGGCAGGAACGCCCTCTGCTGTGGAAGACACAGAATAGAAGCAAATGCCATTTGAGAGAATAAAGAGTGCCCGGTGTGAAACAAAACATTTATTTTAAAATATTGGTTTTAGATTTTCAAGGAAGAAATAGTCACGGTTCAGGTTCTTGGCCCAAAAACTCAGTTTGGGAAAACGAAAATGGTCCAGATAATGCGAAGTTTCTTTTGCCCGTATGTAGGTTACGTCAAAAGGAGCCAATTGTAATTTGCAATGTGTAAGTGGAACAAAACAAACAAACAATAAAAAACCCCACCCCATTCTCACCGCAGTAGATAACCTTTCTGCTGCTAACATGCAAGCAAGACCTGAACGGTGGAGAAAACCACCATCCCTGGTCACTGCTGGGCTAGAGAAAGGAGGGAGACCAGGGCCTGCTGCAGCAAAGGGAGTTGTAAAAGTTACAGTTCTAGTGCCAGTAGAGCCGTCTGGAAACGGCACCCGAGGTTTACGCACTCCATTTGCCTAGTAAATCCCCAAATGCAGCTGATACTAACACAATAAATTGTCTCTGCTGTTAATATGGCTTCCCACGCTTTGCTGCTCAGCATTTTAAAAGCTTTCAACCCCTAGGTGGCACTACGTAGCAAAGTAAGGCATAGTTAAGTACTACATTTTTCCCCCTGCAGATGGAGTTTTTATTTAAAATGTAAACTAGTGTGAACTTTAGCATGTTGAATGTGGCTATTAGTCTCAGCTTGGTGATCCTTTTCCTCTGAATCTGTCTCTCGAAGTCAATAAAAATGGTGCCATGAATCTGATTTAAAGATGATTGTTTGTGTTTTCGGAATGCCATGGGATATATTTTCCTGGAAAATGATGGTGCATCATAACCTATTACAGTTTTTGTTCTGCCTCCAAGCAGTGAATAAAATAACCTAGGCTATTTTTACCTTAGCAGTTCACGTGGTAGAGCAGTAGATTGGTAGTTCCAAGCAGCTGGTGTTGTAGTTCCTTGCACCTCCAGGACACTGGACACACAGAGGTTATTCAGGATCAGGGATTGGCCAGTTGCTCTGCACTCCATGGTACATTTTGAAACTTTGCAGTGAAGCATCTCACAGAACATTACTCCTCCACTCTGGGATTTCCAGGAATCAGTATGTTCCCCTTTTATCTATCCCATACAGATGTTTTGCACCAGTCTTGACCACAAAAAATTCACAAATGAAAGCTTCACTTCTTATTTTTCTCCCTCCTGCAGTTTCCGAGTGACACTGATTTTCTTATTTCTGGTCCTGTGACCCTGGCCAACACGTGTTGCTTGGTGCTGTCGGGGTGGAATGTGAGACTTCATCCTGCAGCTGCAACAGCAGCACCAGGAAAACTCCCTGGCAAACCTGAGCCGAGGCTGCTTTCCTGCCCCTTGGTTTCACAGACCAGAAGGAGAGACAGACCCTCTTCCCGGGGGTCCTCGTCACTGACAGCTTTGCTTGCAGGCAGTCTGGAGGTGCTGGGCCTGCATCCCAGCTCAGGTGGGACCCTACCCTCCTTGGGATGCGGAACAAGAAGCTGCTGGCATAGAAATTCCAGGTGCATTGAGAAACATAACAAACAGTAGGACATAAGGGGTGTAGGGGAATGATGCCACAACATCCTCAATAATTTTTTAAAGATTCCTCTTTGGAAAAATGATTCTAATCTTTCCCTCATATTATAGTACCCTCATATTGTTTCCCTCATATTATAGATAGATAACCCCCTCAAGGCACTCCCTAACTCCCCCTTCCCTCATTCTGTATCTGCACTGATATATTCTGTATGTTTCCTTCATTTGTCTCTTCTGATAGATCCATTATCTTCTTCTGTTAATGACTTCAGTCCATGGGATCCATCAGTTCTGTTTTGACAATGAAAGTTTGTTTCCTAGGTTAAGAAACAAAATGGTCTAACATTATCTTGGAGTCAGAAGTTTGCTGCCCCCAGTTTTAGTGCCTTGGAAAATCTCGGTGGCTGTGGAAGGAAGCGCTTACTGCAGTGCGCTCGTGGGAGTGTGCGTAGTGCCTGCAGAGAGGGCTAGTCTGC